CCCCCCCGAATTAATCAGTGTGAGAAATATGATTCGCCGGGAAAAGAAAATCCTATCGCTTACTTGTGAAATCTCCTAGATTTAGTTTGAAATTAAAAGCCAAGTGTATTAGATAGACTCTCTTGTCATTCGGGATGATATCGTATTAGAATAACATACAAGAGAACGATTAAATTATACAAAAGAGAAGCACAAACAATCGTCACGAAATGAAGCGAAGTCGATAGATATCAGAATAAAGTGTAATGTTGTTTCCATTCGCTCAGTTAAACAATCTTTAGTAAGAAAGCAATAGATGGACTTACCCATTCTGAGACAGACGGAACAATTTACGAGACAAGTCGATTCGCAAATGGTCTCACGTAGAACCGGATATCGAACGTAAAACTTGCGGTCTTCGGGTTCTAACGACAACTGAATTTAAGGAGCCCCGACGCTGTCGAAGAGTTCTTCAAGAGCGAATATACCCCCGCCTCCACCACCACGACCGCCGCCACCACCACCGAGCAGGACGATCTTTAAGGACCTCGAGCCACTCAACGACAAACAAATGCAAAAGCTGGAGGTATTGAAGTCCAGGCCCAGGAAGCGGCCTGATTGGGCATGCATGATGAAGGAAGTGGAAAGCGGCAAAACTCTTAGGCATGTTAAGTGCAATGACAGAAGCGCTCCTCTCATCGAAAGGGTCAACAAAGTAAAGGCTGATCCAGCAGGTGATCGTCGCACTCTCTTCGACCCTCGTGGAATCCCGCTTGGGCCAAACCTTCCTCCTTTGCAGACCGATATTCCCCGCCTTTAGAACGGTCAGGGGACCGCCCTATTTTCCCAATTTTTGGGGAAAGCTTCCCCCTCCCCTAGTCGTGAGTTTTACGAGTCAGCACAGTCACGCACGTTTTTTGGTGATAATAATGACAATGCGGCACGATCGATTAAATCGACACGAGAGTTTCGATTAATGAACACGTACATAATCGCGCGTCTCTCGTTTGTAACGCAAATAGCCAGCACTATTGTTCTGTCGCTAGCTTCCTTCCCCTGGCCCGAAATCAACATCCCCCCCCCCCGATAGGCGAGCCGGCCTATCTATTGTTAAACTGTTAAACTAATTAAATTGTTAATTGATTACCGTTGAATTAACTGGTGTCTTCGTGTTTCTCAATGGGTTTACCGACATCCCGCCCTCCCCTGTTCCCCTGTTGCGAGCACCGACTGTGATATCTCCGTTTCCCTGAATCGGCGCGCCCGAATGGAAATGGAGAACGTCTCATCCGGGTGATCCATTGTCGCGCTCATTAAAAATAGGGGAAATGAGGATCAAGCGATGGAATTCTCCGGTTTTGTAGAATATAAATTACAAGTTACATACGACGCCAAACCGAGCAAAGCCGAATCTATCGTGTTTTCGCCGCTGTTATAGCTGCTTATTAATCATTAAATATTGATTGGCCATTGAAGATTTAAGTTGAATGTCCACGAAAACTGTCTGTGAAACGTAACTTTACGACGGCATTTTTGCAACTTGTAAGCGTAAACAGCTCTTCTTGAATTTTTGACGGTCGTGTAATTACATCGCGATCCAGGAACAGTCATATATTTCGTCGCTGAGTCGTGCTATTTATAAATTACATGCACATATCCGTGCTCTCTTCCTTGTAAGACGGCGATGCACGCGTAAGTTTTTACCCTGATCAATTGTCTCCCCCGTTAGGTAATGCCCACTTCGTGTTCGAGTCTGAAAAGTCGAATATGCACAATCAGCTGCTGAAACAGATTCAACAAGGTGTGAAGCTTAAAAGTGTCAAGACGAATGATCGCTCGAGGCCAGTATTGGAGGGTCTTCGGAAATTTCGACGGCAGTTAACTATCGAGGAGCAAATACAAAAGGCGGAAGAATCGCCGGTGGAAGACGCGATACAAGACGAGATGGATGATATAGACGCTGTCAGGGATGATTTGCAGAGCACAAAGCAGATGCTGGCGTTAGAATTGAGAAACAAAGAGGTTTTGGAGCGAGACAATAAACGCCTGCAGGTAAAATGGTATTTTTATCATCCTTTCGTACATGAAATGGTTAGGGAAATAACTGAATTTACATTACTAATGTTAATCCTTCGTCAAAATATTTGTTAATGCTTTTGCATTGACAGTATCTGTCAATGTCATATTCAGCATTGAACATCCCGTTACGTAATCTACGTCATTTACGGAGAAAGAGAAAGTTTTCGAAAATTCTCACTGAACCAGATTATATTTATTTTTGACTTCGTCTTTGTTTCGCTTCGTATCCTTGCGTTATTATCTGTCTTACAGTTTCTCCTTTTAACTTTTGACGTTTTCACAGCATTGTTTCGAGTCGTTTGTCTCTCTGAAGAAGTGAACTGAAATGATTAGGGATATATATGACAGCCAAAACTTTCTTCTATTTTCAAAACAAATCTATTTTATATAATTATGTAAAAAAAAATCCTCCATAATAAATCATGATAATAAATGTGTTAAATACTATTCAGATATTGATACATTAATTTTAATTTGAAAGATCAAATCACGGCCACAGAAGGCTAATAAAACGAAATAAAAGATATATTCGTCTCAAATTACATTTATTTATCGTATCTTTGAAAATTCAGGCATCAATTAAGCTTTTGTATAATCAAAGAAAATCAACGAGAAAATCAGTCAGCGAATAATTATCTCAGCTTACTAGCATTTATATTTAACTTGTAACATGACTTAGTTTCACGGATAATATCTCGCGCATGATAACTTATTGAATATTTTAATCGGCTTACAATACATAGGCTAGAATTTTGAATCTCGAATCAGAAGTGGATCGTATGAAATCCCAAAAGAGCGTTCAGGAGAATAAACAACAAGATGAAAAACTTACGGAATCTTTGAGGCAAGAAGTGCAACAAGCGAGGAAAGATGTGGAAAAGGCCGAGAAGGAATACGCCGTCGCTGCTGAGGAAAGAGATAAAACCAAAAGCGAATTGGAAGAAATTAAAAGAATGTATGCAGCGTTGGAAAAACGCATGAAAGCTGGTATGTAATTAAGGCGTTCGTCTTGGTAGAAGCTAACAATATTTTTGAACTAACGATCAATCGCTTTCTTGCATCTTTTTAACCAGCTTGAATTTTTAAGCAAAATGCTATTAATTAGTTCACTCTAATTGTGTTTGTTTTATATATTTGCACTATAGATTTCATATATATTCTTCATTCGTGTATATTATTAAAATACACGATATTATATTAGTTAATATAGATACACGCGTTGTATTTTACATAGAAGTAAATGCTAGGATAAAAAAAATAAAAATTTTCGTTGTGATAATTTTGATTTTCTATATTAAATAGCTGGAATAAATATTGAATTTCAGTTTGGAGAAAATAGTGTTCATTTGAAAAAAAAATGATTAACATGGGCAATGACCCAAGTAGCAAGCACACGTTATTTTGATGTCAAATGTTCGTACAGCGAATGACGTTCAGCGATTAAAAATGACAATTGATGATCAAATTTGAATTTAACCAAATTTGTTAATCCAAAAAACTTTTTCTGTGTGCACAGCTCATGAAAAACATGTCAAAATACGGTGACAAAATACGGCTTTTGGTGACAATTTTTTTTGACATTAGACCGTCATTTTTACGACTTGGAAAAGGTCAAATAGTGTCGTCAATAAAATAGAAGACCAAAATCTCAAAGGGAAGAGAAGTCATAAAAATGACAGTCTAATGTCACAAAAAGTTGTCACAAAAACCCGTACTTTGTCATCGTATTTTGATATGTTTTTCATGAGCTGTACAAAAGGTGTCAAAAGGTTAAACTTGCTATATGGAGACACAGCTCTAATAGAATTAAAATAAAACACGTTTGTTTCACGCTTTCTAACGTCGCTTCTTTCTTGCTTTGTTTCTTTTCATTTCACTTAACAGAAGAAAAGCTTGCACCGATCGAGACTGAGCCAATTGTTGAGCTAACGGAAGATTGGAAAGACACGGGATACGCGATGTACGATGTTACAGGAATGGCACTGGCCGGTTGTCCTAGCGCGAAGGACGTGGTCAGAGTCGCGACGCAGAAAAGTATAGACAAACAGGATCCCAGCGAAAGCGAGGAGGAAGAGGAGAGTACGGAGGAAGAGGAAGAAGAGGAAGATCCGAAAGCCGCCGCGGAGAAACGCGCGCAGAGGGAAATCAAACTCCTCATTTCGAAGATAAAGAGCTTCAAGTGAGTTAAATGCGCGTTTGAATCGCACGAGCGTTCGTATCGATAACGTGTTACAAAGAAAAGAGAAAATGGAGAAACTATGTATTTAATAAATCGTTTGAACAGGGACAAGGCGGTGAACGCTCGGAAAGAGAGGCACGCATTGAAGGAACAAATTAAGCAGCAGCAGAAATTATTGGGGGAGGAAAAGAAGAAGTTCAAGCAGCTGCAGAAGGAGGTGGACAAGATGGCCAAATTAATGTCGGAGGCCGACGAGGAGGAAGAAGAGGAAGAGGAGGAAGAGGAAGAAGAAGAAGAAACGGAATCCGAGGAAGAGTCGGAATCTGAGGAATCCGAAGAAGAAGAGTCCGAATCGGATGACGAGAAGGCACCCTTCGAGCAACGTAAAAATATATTGAATGTAAGCTTATAAGACTCTTACAAAAAATACAACACACGGTTTGACCCACAGAGAGTGAATACGCTATTTCTTTTCTAGAAATGTGTGAAAAAACACGAAGGACGGCTGGCGGCGTTAAAGAAGGGCAATTACTTACTCAAGGCCCAAGTGGACAGGATTAAGGACGACTTGGCAAAACAGCGAGAGGAGAGTATCACCCTACAGGAGGACCTTGATTCTGTTTTAGCGGAACTAGGTTAGAATAACGTAAGGGAAGGATATTTTCCGTGGATGCAGAGATTGTATACATACACATATAAATATTGCATATTGAAATATAGAGTATATTGTACGTAATGAAAAGGAATGATTACACACGCATTACACACTTTCGCTCGAGCAATTTTTACACTAGGAACGTCGTCGTCTATTCATCACAGAAGTATCTACCAACTCTGTCACAAAGCGTATCATACACACACACAATGGGTCCTACTGCACGAAGCATATATCGCGAAGACATTCTCTTTAGTGGCTGCCAAAAAGTTACCTTGACATCGCGACTGCAAAGGTATTATTTGGCGCTAAATATGATCATTCGGTTCTCTTAGCTTCGCGATAATCTCCTTCATAATTTTGCTTTTCTCAATTTCATGATGTTTTGGACACTATTTCCATACAACATTCATGTTATAATCGCCTTACATTTTTTATCACGCATCGCATAATTAGAAGATATTGCGTTCAGCGTTAAATATAAAATATGAGCACGGGTCGAAAGCTTTTGGCCCGCGAAAGACTGATGATTTGGAAAGCCGAGTAGAGTTTCGTGGAATAGGACTGTCGCACTTTGCAATTCAAAGATATACTAACTGACAAATGATATTTTCTCTAACAACTGTAATGAAAGGAAAAAGAAAATTTACGTTTGCACACGGATATATACGTATATATACGACAAGCGTGTATATATATATACATACACAGAACATCTTCGAGCAAATTCTCCTACAGTGAGTTTATAATTTGCAACGGACGTCTTTCACCACGGAATATCATATGTTCGTCGTGTGAAACGATAAAAACACTGAAAATCTCTTCACGGAATAATCCGGTTCACAGCCATGATGCACAGAAAACGTAAGCGATAAAAAAATTGACCAATCACAATCGATTCCCAGTAACACCAAACTAGCAGTAACATAATATCAATTTCCCATTCAACAATGCAAATGCAATATAACACATATATTATATATACGTGTTACATTGCATTTACATTGTTATTTTTACGTATATTATGCATTGTTATGTATATTATGTAACAGTTTTATTGTTGAGTGGAAAATAATAACATTGATGTTATGTTACTGGTAGTTGATGTTTACTGGGTTATCCTTCGAGCATAAGGAGAAGAATAGACAAAATTTTCTTACTGCTTAAGTTTTGAAGGAATGTATATAATAGCTATAAAGTATAGCTATTATATACATTCATACAGTAAGACATAAGTAGTAAATTAATTGACCAATTAGATTCTTATAGTCCAAGAATAATCCACGCGACTATGCTTGATCAATTAGCTTACTGCTTATTTACTGCATATTTACAGCTATCGTAAACGGTTCTCTACTGTTTGCGCTTCATTGTGTGCACACTTTTGTTCACAGCGCGAGCGTGTCCGCAAAGTGAACGACCGTTTTTACCGGTAGTCGACACGTGATCGATGTTCGGTCGCATTTTGAACAAAAGCCGGTAAGAAGTATTTGATATTCCTCGACGGAAAAATTATTTGTTTCCTTCTTTTATCTGTTTCCTCTCCTTTTTTCTTCGCTATCAAAATGTAAGATATTTTTTAATAAAGGATCGTTAGTCGAGCCAAAGTGCTCTCCTAATGATAGGTTCTTGATGAAAATCAATGGTCTTACGTGAATAAAACTGCTTGATGAAAATGATCGATGATCTCAGAAGGCGAAATGGATCGATCTTTCAATTCTGTCAAGCACAAGTGGAATCACGTTATTCCGGCTTACTCTGCTCAGTGCACGATGTAAACAAATGACACGTGCTAATCACAATGACAGGCGTTGTGTACTTCTCCAAGCGATTTCTATGGTAACGTAAGAATTGGATCAGGTTAGAACGCTTTTAATTTATGGAAATATTATTCGAGGAACGAACGAAAAAGTCCCTAGCCGATGAATCGATATCGAATCGCAATTTGATACTTCGATATAAAGAATGCACGATTACTTTTACTGTATTATTTACATATATGTTACACGTATATGTAAATAATACAGTTTGCAGTATATTTTGAAACAATATATATATATATATTTTTTTTTACGGAGTTTTCTATTCTCCAAGAAAATCTAATATATATTTACTTTATTTTAAAATATACTACGTACTTTGCAGTATATTTTAAAGCAAGGTAAATATATATGTATATTAGAGTTTTTTGGAGAATAGAAAAGAAAAAAATACACGTATATATGAGAAAATCTTTTTAAATCTTACCTCGTGTTAGCTCGTTGTAAAATTTAAAAGAACATTCACTACGTGTACGAAATGAAAAAAAAGTACGTTCAGGCGTTTAAGAGAAAAAGGAAAACCCTGAAATCCTGAAGAAGGTAATTACAAGTCAGCAAAAACTAACCGATCTGAGGAGGTAGCTGTAAAAATAAAATATAGCGTTTAGTAAAAATCGAGTAGATTAAATCACTGCATTTCAAATTAAGAGATGCTTTCTTTTCGTTTCAGAAAAAATTTTATCCACGTTGGATGATTCCGAATAAATTTTCAAATAAATAATCGCACAAGTATTGGACATCCGCTTTAACGGACATCATCTATTACATGTTACTTATTGTTTCGTTAAAATGAGCATATGTTTCTCTTATAAATGCAATAAAATGTTAATATTAAAGAATCTTACAGAAAAAGTAAACGTCGATTGATAAAATGTACAACGAAATAAACATATTAACAACTATAATTTTCAAAACGGAACTTAACAAGGTTTTATCGCGAGACATTCCATATTACATTCAGAATGTATAAAGCCCCAGATAGCATGATGAATCTTTCAAATGTTCCTAAAGTTTTCTCCTTTCCTGAATTCTTTAGAAATTCATAAAAGGATATTATAAGAATAATCCAAGAAGTTACATGCATTATGATTGGAATTCCTAAGAACTTTTTGGAGTATTCATATTGAATTACTTCATATCAATAGGTATATACTTTATGAATTCAAAAGAAATAGTATTTATGAACAGAAAGAAGAATATAAAATACTCAATAAACACTAACTCTGAAAGTAACGTTACATCAATATTATAATTTGCTGTTCAATAACTGTACCGTTCAATAACTGTTATGTATATGTATTATATGTAACATTTATACTGTTGAGTGGGAAATTATAATATTAATGTAATGTTATTGTGTTAATTGGTGCTTGGTGAGAAACAGTTCTCTTCCAACTGAAATAATTCAAATACATTTAGTTTCCAACTACATAAGAAGAGAAAAGAATTCAAAATTACACATGAATCAAATAAAATAAAGAAAAAATTATACGCGGTCACATTTTTAGGTTATAAAGTAGCAATTTGTAATATAAGCCAAATTCCATCATATTTTCACGATTTAAGGATCCTGAGTAGTCTATACGTATTCTATACGTTCAAATAAAAGAATATTTAAAATAACATTCGTGATTGATTCAGCACACTTGTAAAATTATCCGAACACTTCTTTTACTCGAATAAGCGATAAATAATCGGAAAATTAACATTAATAAAATTTTGAGAAAAGAGGTTAAAGAAGAAGGTTGTGTGCCAAATTAATTTTGCGGCTATTTATTAATTGTTCGAGTAACAGAAAAATGTTCGGTAACAATTTTACACGTATGTTAAATCGATCACAAGTATCATTTTGTGGATATACTTTTTTATTCGAACATATAACGCAAGAATTCTTGGTATGCGTTTTTTCGCTTCTGACGTTATCAAACAGCTGTAAAGAGGAATTAGCATTCTTAAAATTAATTCTTTATGAACTTCTATTTACCTTTGTGCTACCTGAATAGTATTCTCGTAACTTTTCAAACATTGTTTTAGTTAACAATGGGAAGAATAGAAAGAACGCAATGGGGAGAATTATCCCAGTAAGCAAAAAATTATTAACACAACATTACTACAATGATACTTTATAATATGTAACGTTTTCAAATATGTACTCCTTAATGTTGCATACAACGTTATTGTTAATAATATTTGAGCTAAACAATAATGTTTCTACACTATGATTTCAATATTTAAAGATATTATATAATCAAGTAACAATTTAAAAACATTTATAAAATATTATGTTAAAATGTTTATAAAATTCATATAAAATCAATGTTTCAAAAGATTGATTTAAAGTTTCTCGTTTACTGGGATTGCTCGGAATAATAGGAATAATAGATGTAGTCCGGTATTCGTCTCCAATGCGCAATTGCTGTCATAATGCAAAATTCTTGCATTCGAATTTCATTCATAGCTTTTCTCTGATGTGATATCGTATTTTTCTTCTATTCTATTCGGTACTATATATAGAAGCGAAATATATAAATCTGTTCTTACATTATTTTTCTTACATTAAAACAAAAACAAACCCTTTTGCTTTTGTTCATATTTGATACATTTGTGAAGCATGTCGAACTTCGTTTTTTCAGTTCGCATGTTAATAATGAAGCTTTACAATCTTTATGTTGCCAAGTGTTCATTTTCGTTGAAAACGTAGGTCATGCATAGATTGAGTTATATTAATAGAAAAATCAATAGTTTGTAACATCTGAAATTAGCTATACATTCAGTTACTAAAAGACTCGAGTATCTGGATAGTCGAAATTGACAGCACTAGTATATATCCATTTATAGAAAACTTATCGAAGTAAAACCTTTTTTGATATATCCTGCCAGTTCACACACCCTCATATTTTGCAATATTATTAAATTTTAATGTTAGAGCAAGAAAAAAAATTTAACGCCAAAATTCAAACGTTTTATTCAAACGTCGTAATTCAATCCAATTTTACAAATGAAGAAGTAACGAAACTGATTAGAACGAGAACTTTACACAGAAAAATAAGATCTATTTTTTTAGCTGCATTTTTTCTAATCCTTCCTCTTCCTTCTTTCTTCCTTTAAACGATATTAATAGTTAATATTGCAGAAGAAATATACTACAGTATTAAAGAGTAAATATATCTATACATGTATAATTCGACAAGGTGCATAATAGCACTTGAGAACTTACTGATATAATTATCTTACAGTAAAATTGTGCATATAGAATAATTCGAGGAGGAGGAGAGGAAACTAGAAGGAACATGAAGGAGAACAGAAAACTGAAACGTGTGTTTATATAAAAAAGCAGGTATATGTACATAACCGCTTACACAAAATGTTTTACGTCGCCTACGAAATGCAGCTTAGGTCGAAAGTTAAAATTCGAAACATGTACATGCTGTCTTCGTGCGACATTTAGAGATCACCTAACTAACATTGCGAAATGGTACAATCGTGTGTATGTGTGTGTGTATGTATGTGTGTGTGTGTATATATATATATATATTTTATTTATTTATTTATAATTGGCGCGCGTTTATGGATAAATTGTATGTGTGTGTGGTCTCAGGCAGCTTTCTCATTTTTACAGTTGAGATATTCTCTCGTTTAGGATTTGTTCGGGTTTCATGTAAATAAATACTAACTTTCCTCGCACGTGCACACGCGCTCACACATTTTCAATTTCCACAACCTATGCGAAAAATACTGTCTTCGGTCAACAATGATTCAATATAGAGTTCTTATACTGTACCTTTTCGTACATCATGACAGATACTCTCTGTCGGATCTTGATGAACACGACTCTGTCTTAGCAACCTGACTAAAGCTTGCGCTAGATAAATAAAAAAGAAGGAATAAAATAATATGAACAATGATTTCTTCATGAAATAGAATACAAATTACAATTGTTGGAAGTGATACGTTTAAAAGAAGCGATGTATTTTCATTCGGCGTTATTTTTTTTTCGCAATGTTTATAAGATGACCAACGAAATTGAAGTTTACGCAATATAAAAGGCAGAAACCACTTTTAGTATTATAGCGGAAAATATTTAGTATGAAATGTTGCATAACTTAAAAGAATCTTACAGTTCAATCAGTCAAACATATAAGCTTCCGCAATCAAAACGAAAAAAATAAGAAGTCGCGAAAAAATCGTCTTCGCCAAGATCGCGTTTGGCCTCGTATCAGTAAAGGATGTGTGTCGCCGCAATAGAAATCTTATGCTAGTCAGGTCCTTCCTGTCGCATCATATAATGATGCACGTCATGTACAGATTTCTCTTGTGTAAAATAAATCCTCCCTAGTCGCAAGTATTTTGTTCGCAATTACAGTTCGTTCGCGAACGATGGTTTCTACGTACGTTAACAGAACCGGATTGCACTGAACAATAATACGCGCGAGCACCACGTGAGGCCTTTTCATAGTATTATAGCTTCAATTTCGGATATCTTCCTCTTCTTCTCTTCTACCAACTTTACGTCCGTCACGTGTAGATTATGTTCGCTTTTTGCCGCAAATCTGATGACAGCCTGCGTCGATACTTGCGTGGTGTGTCGTAAATCTAAATGTTTCAATGCCTTGCATTGCTCCAAGTGATCTAAGGTGGTTTCGGTGAGTAGTCTGCAGCTGGCTAGGTTTAATGACATCAAATTTGGTAGCTTCTGCGTTGCTAGTTGAGCCACACCCATGTCAGTGAGTCTGCCGCACGAAGACAAATCTAAACTTTCTAGGCACGACAAGTGCTCGACTATGTATCTGGCTCCAAGATCAGTAATATCGCATCCGGCCAAGAACAAATATTTGAGGTGCTTCAATCGCGACGTCTTATCGATAAGACCAGGTCGCGAATCCGTCGGTGGGCTCAGAACTTCATTTAGATTGACGTCATTTAATCCGGTAACGTAACTCAGATCCAGCATCGTCAGAGGGGGACAGCAGCAAGTTCTCAGGCCGCAAACTGCTGCCCAAGTGCAACCTTGAAGAGATAATGTTCGTAATTGCGGTAATCTAGTCAACAACCAAACCAGCTGTTTTTTGTTGATATTGGTCCAATCGAGCTTAAGATTTTCCGGTTGTCTGCGTACGATGAAGGTCAAATGCGAAGGCTCCAGGCAGATGTGCGACATATCAAGTTTCTTCCATAAACTGGGATCTATGCAATATCTCGCCCAGGTACGACAGACCAAGGCACAATGAAACAGCTCTCTTACGCTAAGGTATCGGAGAACCGACAGCATCACCGTCTTGTCGTACGCTAGATTTGACTCATCTTCATCCGATCTTGGAATAGGTGGTGGTGGGGCAGGTCTAACCACCACGTGTGGCCTGATCAGATTTCTGCTGGTTCCGGCAATCAATTGCATTGCTAAGTGGTTACGCATAATTGTTCTTCGTTCATTATCAGCTGCTTCTGCGGGCGAGTCGTTTATCTGAAGCAGGCACAACGTGGAATTTACATGTCAACACAATGATATAGTGCAACTAGAGGCTAGAAATTAACCCTTATGAACAAGCCTCTATTTATATGTAAATTCCACGTTAATATTGTTGCAATGTAGTTCGAAGCTACACTGTGGAAGTAGTACCTCGAGATCTATTTGTAAATATACAACATCGGGAACAAGTAAACGAGTTATTTGATCAAAAGTGCAACTTTTTCTGTGAAAACTGCAGATTTTTCTGTAAAAAGAGTTCATTTACCTCCTCCAACCGTGGTTGTTTATTCGGCGTTGTAGTGTCAGAATCCGAAGTGGGTGCTGAGGATCCTGCGCTCGATATCGATAGCTTCCGCGAGCGAGATTTCTGTTGACGCGGCCGGTATTCAAGATTTCGACCTCGCTCGCAACACTGAGGGCATTCCCAACTATTTGGCACGTCATCATTAACTGTTGTTATTTCATCGTAATTCAAACCTATACATTCCGGATGTACGATGTCGAAGCATATCGAACATTCCATTAACTTCGACGGTATATTGGGAATTGGTTTACCTGCAATGATCATTCTGGATATTCGCGCTATTTGCAATTACGCCCCGCGATAACACTTAATCATAATATCGTTAATCGAGATAATTACAATCTAACATTTGTAACATGACATTCTAATTCGAAATTATTACAAGTCTGTCTAATCCAGTTGTTTCAAGTTCGTTTTACAGTATGAAACAAACAATGAAGATTATTGTGCCAACAGCTGTTGGTAGTGTGATAACGTGGTTTTCAAATTTCTTCTGTAGCCGAAGTAATAAATCACTTAGTTACAAGACTGCATTCTAAATTTAAGTTTTTAATTCGTATTTATGTATTGAATAATAGTCAATTAAGAAAATAACATAATTTTTCATGCAGTTGTGTGCCAAAATTTTAAACTGAGAAATACAAATGTTTTATCACTGAATAAAACTGAAGATTGTTTTGAACAGAATTAATAGCTAGAGATATCTGTGTGATTTTCTACTCAAAAGTCGTACTGTACGAAACAAAGTAGAAATGAAAGATATTCAAGCAATGATTTGTTTAATTCGCTACAAGTTGTGCACATACCCATCAACGGTGCCGGTGGTTGTTTCCAGCCATCCAATTGACAGATTTTACAGGCTGACGTAACTGGTAACATGGGCCTGAGGCATTGGCGCATCAGACAGGTTTGTTTGGCGCGACCAGTTCCACCGAATTTTACCATGTCCTGACAATAGACGCATTCCCGACAATCCTGTCTGGTGCAAGCTTCACACTTTTTACATCTGGTACGCCTTCTACGCGGAAACGCTCTTTCGGACTTCTCCGATGGAAGTCTTGGTATCTTCACGAAACCTTTTCGCGCCACTCTCAATCGTTCCTGTAATGCGATAAAACAACAAGAATAAAATTGACAAACCCAAATTTATCGTAGTGTAGTTCTTCAAGTGATAGATATACCCTGTCGGCGATAGTGAGCGGCGGTGGCGGTGGCAATACGGCATATCCCGTTATTGCAGCTTCAGAATTGTCATGCCGATGTTGCTCCACTAAACAGCGTACATCGTGAATCAAGGCAACTGGATCACGAATAAGTTCTGGCACGTTTTTCTTCGTCGACGGCAAAGAATGTAGATACATAACTATTGCTTTCAAACCATGTAACTCAAACGGAGTGATGTGTATGTGCTGATGCTGCGGTGGAATTGAATGCTGCTTCTGCGATTCGGCTATTTCTAAGTGACTCCTGCCCAAAAGTACATGTACGTATCGTTCAAGAACATACCTGTAAAAAGTATAAATAATATCATATATATGTATATAATATTCTATCTATTGTACTTAATAAAATTATATAAAATCTGTATTTCTTAAAAAATCTTATATACTTAATACATGCTTTTTCTCTTGACTCAGAATTGATTATCACATGACTCGTAATAGGGNTATATATATATATATATATATATTCTAAAATATAAAATATACCATTAACTCACCATAACATTTCTGTGAAGAATGGATACCGGAACTTCTGTGGCACTTTGGTGTGTTCTTCCACTTGTGCCACTTTCAATTGTTTCTCTATACCGAAGCTGTGTAAAAAGTTGCCACCAAAAACTAGAGAATCCTGAGGAGTATATACAGCATGTATCCAACCAGTTGGTATGAACAATGTCATACCAGCTGTTAGACTTATTCTGCCGCATCTGTCTACCATATCACCAAAAAATACATCCGACTGTTTGCCACTTAACACCCACTCCTGGTAGAGCGCCAGGTTCTTCTCAGTCGGTGGAATCAGCCAGAAGATTTTACCACCACGCAAAATATGATACCATACACTAGTGCCACCAAAGTCAACATGGAAATCGGTATAACATCCTTTCACTGACATTAAACAATATTTCTGTACTTTTGGATACATCATATCCTCCAAAAGATTAGTCGATTCCACTTGAGCATCTTTTAAATGTCTTGGCCATACAACATCCACCCAATCAACTTGCCGCACAAGTGCAGGCGATTGGACATAATTCTCTAACTTAGTATGACTAAATTCTAAGGAGATCACATTCAACAGTCGTTCTTTATTGGGATCTTCGTAATACTTTTGCCAATCCTTCATCGTCATATCTTCATTCTTCTGAGTATTAACATCCATCACATCCAGTATTCTCTTAGAACCTTAAGGATTTGAAAATGTTAATATCTCTTCGAGTAAAGCATTTTTTTTTCTCCTATACTTGAAACTTACCAACACAAGTTCTAACATCATTAACTGAAAAATTAGCGCTAGGCACACGTAGTCCGAGCCCTGACATTTCCTTGAACAACAATGGTATTTGTAACCCATACTTTTGCAGAAACGCCAAATTCAATTCTGAGCCGTTCATCTCTCGGAAGAGACCGCTGAAGTTGCTCAGATCATATCTTTCACATTCGATTTTCTCATCAAGTTGGAAAGTTCTGCGACCCTCGATCTCTTCGTCGCCTAGGGTCCAGTCGTCGGTGTAGAGCTTCTTGGTTCTTTCACGCTGTAAATAAAATTAGGAGATCAAGAATAATGCCGACTCGGAGATCCTTCGGCGCGACGAAACGGTGACGTCAATGTGAGATGACCGTAGCCGTCATTATCGCCGCCGCCGTCGTCGTCATCGTCGTCGGCGAACACGCGGTCAGTTTGTTTACCAATTGCCGCCTCTTCGGCAACGCAGAGGACTCATCGGCCATTGCGAACACGCTGACAGAAACGTATCACCGGTAATTCATGTGGTGGACACACACTGAAACGTTGTCGTGCGAAAGTAAATCGAAACCTAACTGATCTTTTTGTTTAACGGCTCGGTGGCTCGTTTATTATTTACATTTCGCACACAATATATCCGTAATGTCGATCACGCACGTTCCACGCACGATCGCACTCCCGCGACGAGATGCGACAAAACGGCACGTAGCGCGTACAAATGTAGACTGCGCCCTCTTGAGGAAATTTTCAAGAGAACATGGAAGGATAGCTATAGTCTATCTTCTAATGTCTACTGCTATGCTATCTCCGTCGCGCTAAGGGGAAAGAAAGACCCAAAAGTCAAGCTGGACAAAGATAGATCGGCCGTGGCCATCTCTGTCTTAACAGTTTCCACGATCTTCACGTCTTCGCGGCTTTTTCCTGCCGGCCGAAAGCTATTAACCCGCGCGCGCCAAAGTTGAATTTCACACACACACACACCAGACTGAAGGCAATTGTCGTGTATTTGCTACGGTAAAGCCGTTACCGTGAATATTCGAACAATCTCCGACGATTGGACGTTTCGTATCACACCACAGTTGCAATGCAAATGAACGGATCATTATGATTGGACGGTTCGTTGCATCGAACTTTCGATATTTCGAGATTTTCAATTGTTGCAATATTCAGTTACAATGCGGAGCGCGACACCGGTCGTTCGTAGTCGAGAAGTCGCCCCGTGTTTTTCGCGATTTCGACTTGTCGGAGACGAGTCTCGCGCGTGATTCATCATCGTCGGGAGCGCCGAACGTAAATCAAATGCGTTCGTTGCAAAATTTGGTTAAATAGCGGCCGAAGGTGAACGTTTCGCGGGACGATTTGTTGTTAGTGCCGAATGAACATCCTACGTCACGTAATGGCCGTTTGGAGTTCGAATTTTCTTATCGCAACATTTCGCACTTTTCGACTCGCCAAGTAAGAATCTCACACGCGAATTTTCGTCGCCGGGAGTGCCGAATGTGAGTTTCACGCGTTTGTTTGTCTTGGTGCAAGCAAAATATCGTTAAATAGTCGTCGGCAGCAAATATCTCGCAAGATGGGTCGTCGGAAGTGCTGAGTGAAAATCGTTCGTTACGTTCGTAGAAGAAGTTCAGCATTCGAATAGCTGTCCTCTACATTTTCGACTCGCTGAAGAACGAGTTGGTGAGTGTCATTAGAACAAAAATAATAATTGATGATGCTTACGATATTCATAAGTCGTATATATATTTTTCCGTTAAGAAATATTTTATTCATAATCATGTATAAATATATACAGCTATATATAATTATACTAAATTATATCTAATCATGTCTAATCCTAACATAATTATGTATGATTAGTATTAAATAAGTATGAACAAATTTCATACATTCAGATAAATTATATTGTTGAGACAGTCGGTAATATCAATCTTCTCCAATTTTCCCCGACTCCAATGGTAGTCAGGTAATTTTTACCTAGAGTCGACAGTCGGTTCAGTGAATTTTCGCTAGGGGCCACTTGGCCTGCAACGCTTCGAAATTTAGAAATGGCGACTACGATGGAAATCGACGATGATGAGTGCGACTTGCCGACCTCTAGCAGTGGAAAGGGCGAGAAAAAGCGTTTTGAGGTGAAGAAGGTAAGCGAAAATACGTGGATTGATTATACGAAACTGATCGTACTTGCGGCCGCTTCTCGACATACAATCGTCACTTTCCTAACCTTACTTACGTTTGTCATGTTTTCTGCATATTCTGCCTTTATATGTTCATGCATTTATAATAATTCCTGCAATTTGATATTCACTTTTGTTTCAGTGGAATGCAGTGGCACTGTGGGCATGGGGTAAGAAAGTCAATTATTGGAATTATAAAACTTAATATAACGCAATATAGTGCAAGCTATAGTTTCTCATATATTGTCTTTCAGATATTGTTGTGGACAATTGTGCTATTTGCCGTAACCACATCATGGATCTGTGCATTGAGTGTCAAGCAAATCAGGCTTCTGCAACAAGCGAGGAGTGCACGGTAGCTTGGGGTGTATGCAACGTATGTCTAGTATTAATATGTTGATGCTAATATTATTATAATTGCTATTAATAATGCAAGTAATTAATTAATTAATTAATTAATTCTGTAACTGTATCTTTTTCCTCAGCATGCCTTTCATTTCCACTGTATCTCACGTTGGCTGAAGACACGGCAAGTGTGTCCACTTGACAATCGCGAGTGGGAATTCCAGAAGTGAGTATATTTTGCTTAATTTATGTGGTAAGATATGCACCGCACATTTATGTATGCAACTTGTATTAGTTTTTAAAATAAATAGTTCTATATATAACAGTTATCAATTTTATTATTTCTGTTTATAGATATGGTCACTAGAATTGGATACATCTAGCTGCACAAGTTTAGCTAGTTATGCAATATGTAATTTTCAAGCAGACTGGGATATTCTTTTTTCATGCACTAAACATTGTTACATTTAAGAATTATGGATATATCTAAGAAAAAAGGAAAATAAAAAATACAGAAGTGGATCAATACTGTCAGATCTACTGTTTTTCTTATAACAGAGAGCAATTAATGAGAAATGTTAAATTAATTTACGGTTATTGTCATTAAATTATATGATTACATAATTCTTATAGGTTGTAAGTCTTATAATAAATAAAATATAGAAAGACAATATAATAAATAAAAGTGATAAGATGTTCGGAGCGATTTATTTATTCACATTGTTTAACTTGACTTTTGAGTTAATCCACGTCCTTCATGGATTTGTTTTTAACATTTCATGAACAAATCCATGAAAGATGCGCTAACTCGATAGACAAATCAAGTATTTATCTACATTAAACTATCTACGAAAGTCTAAATAAATATCTAATTTATTTGTATTACTTTATTTGATGTTATCTTTGTCTTTCCAACTGATTTTTTCAGTTGTGAATTGCATTAAATTTTATAACGCTGCGGAGAGTCATTCAAATTTTTTTGACACAGGTAATTTTTATTTAAATTTAACATTTTACTGGTCATAAAACAAGTTTATCGAACATGTAGAGTAACTATCAAATAGAGAAGCTGAATCCTAACATTTTTTGTTGGGAACGTGTAAGAATTTTTTTATTTAAGTAACCAATCAATAATGGTTAATTACGCATATATAACGTAAAAATATACGTATTTAAATATGTAATAATGATAAACATGCTATGTATCAACGTTGCGCGTTATTTATTCGTGTGTTTTTTTCTCCATTACGACGAGGAACCTTTTAAACGTAACTTTGATTAATCCGATTATCCGATCTTTCAGAAATTTCGTCTAGTAAAAGTTTCGTCCCGTTCTGGTACAAGGACGGCATGAAGTGAATACGGAAGGGGTGTGGGATGATAGCTACACTCTTTTCACCTCTGATAATCGTGTCCTCTCGCTCGCTATATCTCTATACGATCCTTTTTTTACCCGATAATTTTAATTCGAATACGAACGGATCTAAGCAAAATTTATATCAAATTCTTCGTAGAATTGAAATTTTTTAAATTTTAAGCGGATTTTTATCTTCGTCCCGTTAATGTAACCTACATACATAATTCACATACTTCTCATGGCTTTGCTTAAATGAAACATCGTACGTCACTTGATATGATCCGCCATAAGCCATATTAATAGCAATGACATTTATTTAACATAGTTCGGTGTATATACGTCTTCATTGCGCTCAAGGCGATTCCGCAAATCCGCGCCGATGCGGATACGTAGCTCCTTAACGAGATATAACGGGCGCCCATCGTCGTCGTCCGTGACGTCACGTCACGAGGTCGATCGATCGCACCGAGATCATCTCTCGAATCCCTTTTCCAGTTCTAGGGCATTCAGGAGGAGACTGGCATACAGTAGGCAATACTTATCAGGCGGCCCGGAACCGGCTAGGTCCCGACGAGCCGGCTTCTAATCTGGGCATACAGCGAAAATTACATCTTCTCTCGGTGAGGCGGGGGAGAGAAGTGGGAGAGCAGCCGGTCGACATCCGCCTAGAGAGAGCAACGGTAAGCTTCTTCCATCTCGATTCTTGCTGCCTGCCGTCTGCCTCTAGATCTCGCGTCTTATTCGGAGGATTCGCGCGCAGGATGAAAACAAAAAGAGAGAGAGAGGGTAAGGAAGGGAGGGGGGATGATAGAAAGACACAGCCCGCGCACCTGCTCTAAGAAGGCTTATGAATAGTCAGGCGTGGGAAGGGGGCACGGGGGCGAGATCGGGGCGTTCGCACCCTTTCGAGAAAGGGGAATCGATGATGAACGCGTGGATGAACCTGGTAGGTTAATGGGACCGATGATCGGATGGACCTTATACTAGTTTATGTCAGAGTTCGAACTAATTAGCGTTAAGAGCGAGGTATGAAATATGTTTTTTTCCTAGGTGTTTAGACGGATAAAGCGACATTATCGTGAATACTTCAAAGAGTTATTTCTAAGAATTTTTATTCAAACGACTGAATTCTTCGACTGCGTCAAGATCAAAGAATGAAATGCAGACAGATATGATCCACATCGATATCGACGTCGAAGATTTCTATAGAGCAGGGACGCGCAGCGTATTACCTTCATATATTTCGACGAGATGCAACATTCTTTGATCATTCGACATCGCGATTCTTGTCATTGCGTTAATAAAATGAACGAGCTTATGCTATTATAACGTAATTAATGTAATTATAAGCTTCATTAATTTTCCGTTAACTGCATTTTCGTACACAGCACTCGGTTAGATTTGACGTGTCTAAAAATATGGCATAATTATGGGATGAAATTTCCTCATTTCGCGACAAAAGCTACTCTTTATATTATGGTAACATTAAAAACGATAAAATTTGTTTTTGTCCTTAGGATTAAATAGATATTTAATTATAACTTTCATTAAACTTTATTCCTTTTAGAATAAAAATAGCTCCGTCGCACAATAAAATTAACTCCGTCAAAAAAATAGAAAAGGAAAGTATCGATACGATAAAAAATTCCCACACTCGTAGGATCAAGCTTTGTCTCGTGGCGCACAAGCGTCTGCACCTGGTCTCTGATCTCGTCGCTACAGTTTCTTGTTGCTCCGCGCGGAATTTGCGAGTTTCAAGTGTAAAAACGCTTCCTCTGAACGCGGCTACGGCGCGCCGAGAGGAGCATCACGTCGGAACAGCGTCGATTTTTCGGCTCCGCGGATCTCGCTTGTCACAGCTCGTCGCGGCAGGTGCGTACACTCGCCCGTAATATTTACCTGGGCGCGAGAGATGGGATATAAATACGATTTTCATCCTCGACGACGACAGCGAGGGCGTTAGGGACGACGGGAGGACGAAGGGTGGTGCGGAGGAAAGGTTGATAGGGGGAGTAGGTCGATGGCGCGGGGTGCGGGGTTTAGCGAAGGCCTCATTTCCGGCGGAAACAGAGGTTCTCTCACCCCTGATAAAAGCCACCTCTGTCCCGTCACCTCTCTTTGCTCGCCCTCCTTGTTTCAGTCCGACGACGGCGACGGCAAAGGCCAATCGAATTAAATACATTCCCGAGGATCGCCCAATCCGACGGTGCCTCCCTCCGCGGTTTTTGTCTCGCGGTACGTCTGTCTCAACGTGAACACCGTTCGTCCCTACTTCCCTTTAAATCTTAGTGTAAATCTACTTTCTAGAGGTAAATTTACTCAGGAAAGCCGGTTAAGGCTGTTAAGCTGTCGTCACTGCACTACACCTGAAGCCCGCTTCACCGAAATCCTTTAAGTTTCACTGTTACATAGTCCCGTAACCGCTGATGCCTGTTAGGTCGAAATAATTGCGATTCTTTCTGTCCGTACGTAGCACTCGTGCCTGAAAGAATATACGATAGCATAAGGGATTCTGTGAATCGTTCGAATTTATGATATTGTATACAGATAAAGTATACAGTCTGAGGAGTATTATTAGAGACACAAATTATCGTTTGCGAGACTTAGAGTGTATTCAACCCGGGCGTTTTTTATGCCTGCGACTGTCCTGATAACTCACTCATTTTAAATAATCCGGAATATCACGATAACACTGACTGTTACGATCTCTCGTTCACCGTATATTTATGTCATTGACTGAAGGTCTACGACGGTTGGCGAGCTGGTTGTTTTGGAAATCTCGTACGTCACGTCCTTTTCTGCGACTGCGAGCGTAAAGCCCGTTCAACAGCCGTAAGAATATGCAGTAAGACGTAAGCAATAAGCTAATCGACCAACTGGATTCTTACAGTCCAAAAATAATCGATTATTGTTAGTCAATTTGCTTACTGTTTACGTCTTACTGCATACTCTTACGGTTATTGTAGAACAGGCTTTATATTACGTTTCGAACTGGTGAGCGAAGTATATACCGGAAAGTACATGTATCAACGCGTTAATCGTCATTTTCGTCGGTCCGTAAAATATTCAATCGTGTTCTCATTTCGTCGGCATCACGTTAATTAATATACGTCTCTCCGATTGAATCTCGTATCTCACGCAAGTGTCAATGTACCGAGTGAGTATCCGGAGTGCTATGACGGAATAGCCAGGAATAGGATGCGAATAGTCAGAGCGGAAGACACAGGAAGCCAAGACGCGGACAACGATACGTCACATATGTCTAGGTACGTGAAATTATACAGAATGTTTCCAATTTTAACTGACGTTTGACGAACTTAATCAAGGATAAGGAAATATCTGAGTAAACTAAAATTTAGTGTAAGTCTCGCAAATGCCAATTTGTGTTTTTAATAATACTCCTTGGGTCATAAGTGCCACCTTGAACTTCCAAATTTTTCTTTTCCTGTTAAACCTTATTATCGTACCGAATCTAAATTTAAGTCTCCAGCACGTCTAAATCGTGCGTTTTATTATTAGAAACAAATACCTTGCATCTACAATTTCTCCCTCTTTATCCCTCAATCTAGACGGTAGATCTTTCGAACCTTGAGGAATGTTTCAAAAATTGATTCGATCATAATAATTAATTTCTCGATCGTGTCGGCAATCTGATAAATTACCGTGACCGAGATTAATCGTTTACAACATTTATCGGAATCGCTTACAATATTTATCACAAGTTTCGTGTAGCAGACAAAACTGATCGTCTTTTGAATTACCTCCGCTATATTCGCCTCGTCGAACGCTATATTCGGGTAGTCGCGATTATCGTGCAATACCGGGGAAGGCCAAGAATTTTCAGCGTTATATTATTTAAAAAAGCGTCCCCCGGTAGCTGCGAAGCCATCCATTATCCGTAGTCCCGATAAATCCCGGCGAGGCGTTCGAGCTCCTTGTGTTTGGCGGATATATCAAGGCTTCCTCGCCTTGTCGCCCCGCGCTAGGACATCGCCGTCCTTTTCTACTTGTTTCTTCCTGCCTGCCTGCCTGTGCCGCAGACTTTCGAATCAGCCGAGATTGTCGATGCGATTCAGAGGCGGATGAGTGCACCGATAAATCGAGAGATTTCTCTTTCGGCCGCGTTACTCTCGAACGTTGTCCATCGTCGCGATCTGAAAAACAATGCGAATAATTA